AGGAACATCCCCCCAGCTCCCACCCCAAACCCCAAGTCAAAAACTAACAAAGCTGTCCTGGATTGGGAGGGCCTGGGCGCCCTGACAGAGCCAATGCAAATCCTCTTTAAAGGGGTGTACCCTCAGCCCGCAGCAGAGGCTTCCACAGACAACGTGAACGTACAGCAAAGCTAATAGATGCATCCCAGTCCACATGAAGCAACTGTGCAATGTCTTCTTTTTTTCCAGGAAAAGAACATCACTTTCCTAGCTAAGTTAATATTGCTTTAAATACAGCAGGGAAAACAATAAACTTCTTACTGGTCCCTGGAGCCTAATTGGTGAGGACAGAATGAGACCACTTGCTACATGCTCAGGAGAGAATGGAAACCAAGCAAGGCTGCTGTCGCTATGCAATTATGAACTGGAGATCAGGGTCCTGAGAGCATTGCTGATTTCCTGGGAAGGCCAAGAGAACAGATTCGGAACAGTCACCACGTGGAAACAATAACGATCGCACATTAGTGACTGAGCTTTATAGGCTGGCAGAACCATGATTGTAACAAAGGCATCTTTAGCGTCAGTCATTTGAATGAATGCAGACAAAACTGAAAGCTAGTTTTAATTGATATTTAAGTGTATTCTGTCCTGGGAACAGTATCCGATGCTCTGTTGACTTGCTTCTAATATATGTTGTCACTGTGTTTCTGGCTTACACAGGGGAGAAGCCAAAGTTAGAGTGTGTCTAAATTGGCAGCAAGCCAAAGCCAACAAGACCAGGAGGTGAGTCAGGGCTCAGGGGCAGACACGGGGCTACACACTAGGACATGGACCTTGAGTGCGTGACGAAAGATCCTGGCTCTGCCAGGATGCAACACGGGAAGGCAGTGCAGGCAGAGAGGGACAGGTGCCAGGCTAGCGGCAGATCCAGAGCTGGAAGAAAGCAGGAGCAGACTCCAGTTATCCTGACTGGGGCACAGGTGGAACGAGCGGAAATCCACCCAGAAACCAAGGGGATCTGGGAGAGGCAATGCAATGCAATGAAATCCCTCCTGAAATGCAAATCATGAATATGTGCTCACCCCAGAAAAAGGGCCTCATCTCTTACTTGGTGATACAGTGAGGACCTTGGCTAAGAGACTAGTAGCCTGGGCAGTTTCTTAGAGCAAGGTATTACGTGTGAATGACAAAGAACTCAGATGTTTCCTAAGTTTTTAGTAAAAATTCTGTATCTTTGTAGATAAGAACTTGAATAAAATGTCTTTAAATTATTTAATGAAGGAATGTAGAGCTAAAACAATTGCTTAAAAAATGCTTCTGTGAAAGACTAAAGAGGATATGTCTGGCATATTCACACCACCCAAGACTGGCTTTGACAGATTGTTCCAACTCACTTTTCATTTCATTTGTGTTTTTAAATTAGCAAACAGGAATGAGCATTTTTATACAGTACTAAGTATCACTGTAAATGTTTTTATAACTTATTATCTAACCGTTTAATTTTCAGTTTAAAGGAAACAAAAACATTCTAATTGAGTTTTTCTAAGTATCAGATGAACACAGCTAGAAATAACTGCTGAATATGATTATAAAATTTGGTTTGAAAAGAAATATACCTCTGTGGGCAGGTAGAAAATAAAAGTTTGTTCTTCCATAGTAGTTCTCCATAGCAGTAAGTGTAGTAACCATTCCATAAGCTCTCAAAGCAGGTTTTGTGAATATGTCAGAAAATCTCCTACATGGGAACGAAAACATTGCCACAAACTATCGACTACTGGGTACATTGCTCTGACGAACTCACCAGTGCCCAGCAGTCAAGACACTAGGCGTTTCTTTTGCGTCTAGAATATACTAAGAAGTGCTACCCTATGAACGAATGGCAACAACTACGTAAGTAGGATGCACTGCAAATAGTAGGCTTATTTCTGAAACTACCACCACCACCAACAATCAGTATCCAATATTTCATTATTTTATTCCTATAAAGTTCATTTTGGATTTTAACCATACAAAAATATTAAATATTAACTGACCATACACATTTGAACTTGTGTTACTTTGGGCTTGGTTTGGCTGAAATAGAAATAGAGTAAAAGTGATTATGCAGAATATGCAGATCGAAGTTAATCAGAAAAAAAAAAAAAAGCCTTTCAAAGGCAATGGTGATCCAGAGCTGTACCACCAGAAGCATCAGGATCCTTCTACCCGCCTTGACCTGCCACCACTGAATCAGTCACACCCTCTAATGCACCAAGAACTGCACTGCTCCAACCCCATTAATTGTCCTGACCTACACTTTTCCAGAGAAAGCACAAATGCTATGAAATCTACCACAAGTATCCACACCTGTTCTGGAATTCTTCCAGGACTGCCCTCTACCTCTGCACTCTGTTACTCTTTGTTCCACAGGCTTTTTTGTTCCCCAGCCCCTGTTGATACCCAGTTTTCACTCTAGAGGTAGATGCTCCAGTTTTGTTGGGTGAAATAGTCTGTGAAACTGCCACTCATTCAGTGTTACTTTCAGAAACTTCCTGCCTGCTTCCTGCACCCAAACCATGAGAAACAGGAGTCATTCCTGAATTCCAGGCTGGGTGCCTGGAGAGAGTCTCAAATGTTCTAAGCTGGGGAAGGAACTGCATAGCTAGAAGCCAGTGAAAATGACTGCATTCAGCAAACGACCTGGATGTTTCCCAACTAATCCAAACCTCACCCTTTATTTCCTGCAACATTGCTGCATCTATTCAGCTTCTGACTTCCCGAAGTCTGTCTGCCTTTTCTACTTCCACACTTACCCTTTAGGCTTGACATATTCATTTCCCTAGGTTTAAACCTCAAAATCATAAAATACACATAAAGATAGACTTCTACATCATCAGGCTCCTAATTACTTTAAGAAACACTCCATCAACCACAGCCTGCTCTTCTTTCCCACTGTTTTATTTAGCATTCTTCCATCTCCCCTCTGCTTCTCTCCCCCATCATCCTACTCCTCTGCCGTCCCCCGACACACACATTTACATCAGACATAGGACAGAGACACTGGCAATCTCACCGCCCTTTAAATTCACCAGTCCTCATCTGCAGCGCTGAGCTGTTTAGATTTTAACAGGTGTTTTAACAAACTGGAGAATAATGGGAAGTCCCAAAACTATCCTGTGAGGACCAGTTGAAAGAACTAGAAAGATTTAACTAGAAAACAGGCCTCTTTGGATGTTTCCCTTGTTATAAGTCTTTAGTAATTTGACTGCTCCAGATTGATTTTAATAGTTCTTGATAGTTTGATGGCAAGTGTTTGCTGTGGTAGCCAACTTGCTGGCATTCAGTTCCCTGTCCTTTTTAAAGGGGGTATTTTAACTTTGAGCTATACATTTTCTAAAACTAGGAAAATGAATGGGGGAAAAAAAAATTTGACTACTACACTGACGATTTCATGGAGCTATGGCTTCCAATCATCTGATCATTTCAGATGATGGGCTGACAATGTTAGATAAAACCCCCTTATCAGCAATGCATCGCACCCCACAGCACTAATTTCCATAGTCGACAAAACCTCTCTTTGCATAGATACGTATGTAAAAACAGAACATTCAGTACAGAGGCCAGAGTGCCATCAAAGGTAATTACAGGGACAGTAAAGTTCTTTTACGCCAGCAAAAACGCTGGTGTTTCAGGGAATTTCAGAACCTGATTTCAAAAGGATCATACAGGGAGGAAATAAAGTTTACCATGCTGGACTCCTCCGCAGCATATATTTGTAAGTGTGACATTCTGTAAAACAGTTGAATAGTTGCTTGATATAAATGACTACTGGATGTTTATTTCAACAGCAGAAGTGTTAGCAGTTTCCTTCTACGGAAACAAAGAAGCAAACTAGTAAACACACATTTGTGTGGCCTAGGTTTTGAATACTTAAAGTGATATGTGTATAAATGAAGCTTCTAACTTGAGCAGTAAAGGAAATATTACAGTTTTAAAGTATGGTCTTTCATTTTATGTGTTTTTTGAGTGAATATGTGTATATGTTTAGATTAAAGACATAAAGTCAGGTATTTCAAAATTGTTTCAAAAACTATGCATTACTAAATGATTAGTTCCATCATATAATAAGCTGTACTGATTTCAGGTATAGGTTGTTAGTTTCTCTAAACCATTAACTTGATTTTATGAAATTTCTTCATTCTTTAATGTTATGCCTAAGCACAACTACACATATTACTTTTTTTTAAAAAGGCAACAATTTTGTGTGCTGTGGCAAACAAAATCTCACTAAGATAAAAAATTTTCTAAATCTTATATGACATGTTACACTGTAAAATAAACGCATTTAAATGCCAAAACAACTTATGAACAGAAAGACTATCAGGATAATAAAAATGTTTTTAAATATGTTAAAAGCCTCCGTTTAAGAAAATGTATTTTCCTATTAGTTTGAGAAATTTCATTTAAATATTAGAGGAAATTGAATCTATTCCTGGCATATTATATATCTGACTCTCTTAATAGTAACGCATTTAAAACCACTATACAAATTCAATCTCATAGATAAAAAAATAGTCTTTCTTTAAAATAATCAGGAAAAAAGTTGGAGGCAAAATCAAATGGAAACCTAAATTTGTTCTATTCTATGCTTAGATAGTAAAAGTGCACACTAGTTTTACCCAGAGGATATTAAATAATAGGTAAATTAACACAATATTAAGTAAGAAAAAATAATTTTAATAAAGCAATGGAAAATACAAACTTTAATTTTATACTTTTATAATTTTATAATATATAATTATATAATTTTATACTTTTAAGTTTAGGAATTTTTATAATATCAATGCATTAAACAAAAAAAAAACCTAAATAAGGAGTTAATAAATAAAAAATGGGGATAATCATAATCCAGTACTTACAAAGTGGAAAAAATATTTGCTTAAAATGTAAGGCAGGGTATTTAAAGAAATCTTTGCCAAATATGTGTTCTCTATAATTCACGTGATAATTTTTGTTTGTTTTTGTTACTATTTCATTTTTAGGTCAATGGAATGTTTCCACATATCTTACCACCAATATGAGAAAAAAATGATTATTGTTGATGTGAAGCTTGGTGAGTTTCTCCAATTTAAATCAATTTTATACCTTCTTAGTTTAAGTCATTCTTTCACAGGAAACTCTTTTCCTTGTCAAAACAGAATTGTTGTTCCACGGAATAGTTGAGGCTTATTTTTATTTTTACCAGTAAATGACCATGTATGTTCTAATTTAAAGGTCTAATTTCACCAAAAATGTTCTTAATTGGATTTAACTATAATCAAGACAAATATGATTTATCAACAGGATATTTTAATCAAATTCTAACTGTCAAGAACTATACTTTAAATTTTCTTTAGAATTTACTCCTTTTGGGAACAAAAATATTTCTTAAAAGTTTGCAACTGTAAATAGGAAAGTGTTTCACTCTATCACTCTATGTTTTGGTAACTCTAGACATGGATATACTACTTAATGATAAATATTGTTGAACGCAAGACTGCAGGCATTTCTCTTTAAACCACTAGTTATTTTGGAAGTTCTTTGTCCTCACACTGTGAATTGTATTTTCTTCATTTTTTCAGATGAAGTTCCAAAGTCTGCCTTTTCTATTCTCTTTTTAGAGGTATGAAAATTATAATTTCTGAAGTTTACCTGCTCTCCATCTTCCAGAATTTGTTTGAAATACTTTGTTTTCTGTCTCCTTGTTTAATCTCCCTTTTCCTTCCTGTTTAAGCCTTATACATTCCTTCACTATAATTTTAGTAGTGTTGGTTGGAAGAAGTAATAAACTTAGAAGTTCAATCTGTTCTAGCACTAGAAACTGGGTTAAATATTTGCGCATCTATCTCTTGGTTTCAATGCTGGAGGCATCACGAGGACATGGGGAGTGTTCTGTGATGCTCCAGCAAAGTGGAGGTGCATACTGACAGTGAATCCAGCAACAATGGAAAGGGGGAATGCAGGCATGCAATGGACACGCAGTCCCAGGAATCTTACAAGATGAACAGCGTGATTCCAGTCACCAGGACAGTAACCAACAAGTTCCATTTCTTAATGGACTAGAAAACCAGAAAACGTCACCAAACACAACTTTGGTGATCTAATTTTTCTGTGTAAAATATATCTTCTGCATAACTCTGTCACTAAATATTTACAAAGGAAGATTACAGGGAATGTATGCTGACACACGAATAAGATTAACTGGAACAACTTACGAAGTTTGAGCTGAACTTGAAAAAGAGGAAGGAATGCAGTCTGACAACGCATGCTTCCTGTGCATGCAGAAGCCTTAGGAAATGCTTTCTGAGGGGCAGGGTATAAGAAGCCGAAGGAGGATCAATCACATTAACTGGAACAGAAAGTTTGTGCATGCGTGTTTTTTTCCTAATATTTGCAGTTCCATTTTAGAGAAAAGGAAATTAGGCAACTGAGAATTTAATTAATATACCTAAGTTCACACAGCTAGTAAGAGCCTGAACTCAAGCGCATGTCTGTCTGGCTTCAGAGCCCAGGATTACTTTAATACACCCTGTCGCCTCTCAGGAGCTGCAGGAGCCCCCTAAACGCCGGTGAGCCCGAAAATTAACCTTCACTGTGCTTCTGACCTCGTGGGTATTGCACACTAGAACTGCTCTGCTTTTGTCAAACAGGCCCATCAAATTTTTAAAAGAAAATAGGACGACTTATCAACAGACGTGAACTTTAGATACACAGATCACCAATGTGTGCATGTAGAGCCAGTAGATCAAGTGAGGCGACAGTGAGGAATAAAAACTATGGGTAAAGTAGAGCTGGGAGTGTAAGTCCAGGCCAGTGGAAGGCAGAGACGATCAGCAACACTGACCGGAAAGGCACCTGAAGGAAAGAAGACCTCCACCATCCTCCCACTTACAAGACAGGCAGACAGTCACGGGGGGCCAGCACAGAGATGGAGAATCTTGGAACCTGGACAACATGAACACAGTTCAGGGTCTGTCTGATTTACACACGGGATCAGTTAAGTACAGCCAGTCACTGCAATTGTTTTGTCGGCCTCCATTATTTCAGTGTTAATCACCTTCAGTCAGATCTGTTCTTCTGGAAAAAGACTTCTTTTCATCACACTATTATTTAAAGTCCTCAGTGAGTTATTCCTACCATCAGAGTAGAGCCCAGCACTGAAGGCCATCCAGAATCCATGAGCAAACACATCCCTGTAATAAACTCTCCCTTTGCTTTAATTTGCATGTATCTATATTTGCACTCAAGAGTCCTGATTTTGTCCCATCCTACAGAGATGTTTAACAATCTGTCCCTTGGTCCCCCTGACAGCAGAGACTCATATGGGAAGTGAAGTCCATCAGACCACAGCACCCATAAGTTCTTGTCCCCAAACCTACAAATACACTTAGGTTTGCTCCTGCTTTCCCCACCCCTCCCAGTTACAAGGAGGGAGTAACTTCCTCCTGTGCTTCCACCAAGACGTCTCAAAGTCCAAGCTCCCACATTCTGAATCCCTCCTCCACCTCATTTTTCAGAAACCTGAAATCCTACTGATTTTCTCTCTTTCTCCTATGTCTTCATCTTCTGCCCATGGTTACCACGGCCAGCCTCAGGCTGAACCACTCACAGTGTTGACTTCGTGAATGATGTCCCCAGAGATGTGCGGGTCGGGATGGAAACACAGCATAGCCCTGCCTCTCCATCTCCAGTGTGCCTTTCTATCTACAGCTCTCAGAAGGAAGGAAGGAGAGGAGTGAGGGAAAGAAGGAAGGGAGGAAGGAGGGAAAGAAAGTGCAAATAGCCTGTACAAGCAGCCCTATGTCTGTCCAGGTGTCCATTGACTCTAATATTCTTCCTTCTTCCTGCCCTTGCCACTCCACTGATACCACTCTCCCTGGGGTTAGAGATGACCTTCTTGCTTCTGATGGACAGTTTCAGTCCTTTGCTCTCTGAATCTCTACCCAGGTCCAAAGAGTTAGCCATTTTCCCCTTTTGACAGTTCATGCCTTGGTTTCTGTGACACTCTATTATTCTGATTTTCCTCCTGCAAGCCTCTCTTTATCAGTCTCCTTCTGAAATACGTGTGTTCATTCATCTGTCTGGAGCCACCTGCTTTTTTCAGGTTACACTGTCTTCTGGACCATCTCACCTTTTCTTTTGGCTTCTCCTCTGTATTTTATGAAAACTGCCCATGTTTACCTTGAGACTGAATCTCTTTTACCTGAACTTGTTTCCTTGCTTTCTCCCACCCGGAAGAGCCAATACATCAACACGTTATGGTAATTCCCCCTCCCAAACACCTGAAATCTATCCCTTCCCACTATTTCTGATGTCACCTTCCTCATCTAAGCCCGTACCGTCCCTCTCCTGGACTCCTGAAGTCACCTCCTCACTGGTCTCCCCAGTTCCACCCTGGCCAGCCTACTATCCATTCTTCCACAAAACCAATCTCAGATGCTAACACGCCTATTCCATATTTTCAAACTTTCACTGATTTCCAGCTTCTTACTACGAAACTGATGGTATGGAAAGCCTATGGTGCTTGGCTTCTCCCTCCCTAATAACTTCATCTCCTACCACACTCCTGCTGCAGTGAACACTTCAGAACCTCTTCGAGCTCTCTCTCTGCCACACTGTGGACTCACACAGTGACCACATCCTTTCACTTCCTCGGCGAGGATTTGACCCACTGGCTCCTGACCTGGACCCAAGCTGCATCTCTCCTTCACTCAGCAGTTCCTGCTCATCCCCTAGGTTCCAGCCCAGCTACCACTTCACCTCAATGCCTTCTCTCACCACCTCCAGGTCCGGTTAGGTTCTGCTCCCATGTGTACTCATGGACCCCTATACTTTCTGTCGCAGAGTCCCCACAACACAAATTTTCACTGCCTATGAGTGAGGATGGGAAGAGGAAAGACAGGATCTATGTAGACCCCTGGCAGCCAGAACTTGGCACATAACAAGTGTTCAACAGAGGCTACCCATGAGTCAATAAAGACCAGTATAAAACTGTTTATCCTTAACAACTCACTGTAGTTGTGTGCATGTATATTTAGCAAAATATTTCCAGCCCTCACTGTAAGATGTAGATTTGATTATTTTTAACAAGCACTTGAGTTTTTTCTCAAAATCTGGAATTAAAAACTTTCTATGCAATACATTGTCAGATAAAGCCTGGGCTGACTAAACTCTACCTGAATTTTAAAGTCAAAGTTACAGTGACCAGATTGGGGAAAGTCAGGTAAGCAACACTCCACTCAGAATTTGCTCTTAAAAAAATCTTACTTTTTACTTGGCTATTTACAATGTTTTATTTGGTTAACTACAAAGAGGCCAGCTCTTGTTCCACATATTGAGATCTTCCTATAAAAATGAATCACTTGATATGAGAAGACTTGAGAGCTGGTGAATTCATTGTTGGGAGGCCCTACATGGAAAGATTTTTTTGAAAGAGCTATATTTTTTTTAAAGATGTTATTAGAGAATAGGTGGGCCAGATGGCTTCTAAAGTCACAACTCAACGTGCCTACATTCCTATATTTTCAAAATTATTTATGATGTATTTATGAGTCATTTTGTTCTCATCCCTCCTTCTCATTCCCATAGTAGTTGTGTTCCATTAACTTCAAGAGCCCATCCTTATTTTTTATGATTAAACTTTGTGTGTTCTTTAGAAATAGACTCTAACATATAGTACTTTTAAATGACTAAATTATACTGAGTAAATGCTGCATTTCTCTAGAAAAATGAGCAGGCGGAAGTGTTGGATTTGTAAGGTGTGCCGAGATGAATCTAAGAGACCCCCTTCAAAGTAAGTCACATGTAAATTCTATTACCATTTTAATGTATATTTTTCACATAAGTAGGGGTATGTGTATTCAACTTCTGTCAATACATTTTGCTCAGAAAGTAAAATTTGCATTTACACATGAGTACTTCCACCAGAAGGGTAATCATGTATTACACTAAAGTTCCATTTTCCTTATTCATGGTTTACACTTGAGAATTCAGCAAGTTAATGTTTTTAGAGAGTCTATTATGAACAAATATTCTTAGATTTTTTTTTTTAAGTCCAATATAGCTAAAACTTTACATGTTAAGATGAGATTCCTTGATCCAAAATATTTACATAGTTCAAGTCCTTTATCTACAAAGTGCCAGACCTTATCCCTGGTTGGAAAAGGTGAGACTGGAGGGATAACCAAATGCTCATCAAGTGTCCAGGTCTCTTCTACATTTTGTCATAACTCAAAACGCATTTGTTTGGATGGGGCAGTGGCTACACTAAAGTGGGAAGTGTAATGCCTGAGGAGGGTAACAAACCATTTGAGTGGATTTGCTCACTTCAAAGAACCCCCAGGTGGAGGATTCCTGTGAGGTTAGCCAGGGAGCCCGACCGTCTGCATGGAGACTCAGCTGTAGACACACAGCCCCATCACCGTCAGAGATCCTGGCTTGCAGGCTCCCACCCTGAAGTGCCCAAACATCCGAAGATGCTGACCAACTACCACATTTATGGGGAATGGAGAGCCTCTGGTGGTGGGTAGGAGAAGTGGAAAGACCCAAAGCTCAGCATTTCAACTGACCAGCTGATGCTGCTGAACTGAACAGACCTGTGTGAGAAGAAAGAGGAGAGGGCTGGCTTGGGGACAGCTTCCTTCGGGTCTGCTGATAATTTTCATGGAGCATCGCCATCAATGCTAGCCTTCCTTCTACCTGCCCTGGAGACCCACCATCAGGGAAGGTGAAGGCCAAGGAAAGATAATTCATGTTCCTCAAAAGCCAGGAGATAATGGTCACTTGATAAATGCTTTACATTCTTGACCTGACTTAATTTTCATGATAACTTTGTAGATCATAAAACTGAAGCTTGTTAATTTTAATTTAGACTAAGAGCTATTGAGTTCAGCATAGGAATTAAAACCAAGGACTGTCAGACTCCAAACTCTCCTCATTCCTCTCTGCACTATGTTGCAACGGCTCAGATGTTCCCGTATCTGTTTGGTACCTGCTCTCTCTCTACCCGGAAGGAGGAGGAAGCACAGAAGTGGAGCAGGTTATCAGAGAATTCGGTAGATGAGGGAACAAATCTGATTAGGATTATTCTGATAAGGGAAAATTGTAGCCATGGAAGAGCATGAAATAGGAAAAACCACAAGCAAAACTGGGATTAAACCAAAACCAAATTTAGCTTCACAACTTTACCCCTAACCATAATCACCCTAATTGTGATGTATCTCCATAAATCTCATGCTCCTTGGAGGCACAGGAATTCCCTTGCCAGCGATCACCAACGCCAAACTCTGAGCTACCCCAAGACAGCAATAGCTTCTCCTCCCATGATGAAGGTTGTCTTCTTTCCTACATGACAATTAGGTCTGCTTTACACCTTGCAAACACTTTTCATCTCACTGGATTGAAAAGGTTATTTTAGGCTTCTGTTTTTAGAGTTCTAATAAGAGAAGAGAACAATGAGTCAGACGCCATTTCATGGAAATGTTTGTTGAAAGCGATCTCCACGGCAGTGTACTGTTAAGCCTCGGCAATGATGCAAACAGTCCATCTAGAGCTAGCAAGCGTCATCTGAAGGCTCAGAAAACAAAGGATATTGGACCATTTTAGGACTCTCAGCATTTTCCATTTCCCAGGTTACTTTTTTAGCCTCTTTAATCTGCCTTCATTGTGTTAAATACCTGCTAATGCTGATGGCTGTCCCCTCAACACTGAGTACTGAGCTAACTATACCAGGTAACAGCCAATGGGCAGTGCTTCCTGGTATCTGTAGTGGCCTTTGATTAGATACAGTCATTAAAATGAGGAAAATTAAGAATGTATCATAAACTGAATGGCAATGAATGCATTGAGTATTTTAAAGAGGGGAAATAAAATGACTCACAGGTAAGAACAGTCACTTACCAGTTCACTTCAAAGTCCACTAAAATGAACAGAAATGAAGTCTTGAAGCCAGTATCTTCCATGGATATTTTCAAAACTCTTCTCATACTGTTTGGATCAAATGTAACTTGATATATCATTCAGAGTAATAAAAACTAAAACACTCAATATATTTAAAAAATCCAATAACTGACCAAGAAATATTTATACATTGTAAATACAGAGTACTAACCTTATCACATGAATGCAGGCCAATAGGTTTTGTGGATAAACTCTATGATTCTAGTAAACACATGGGCAAACACATGGCTGGTGGCAGCAGCACAAGATCTACAATCCTTTTTAAAGCATTGGTTCTACTCCTGTTAATCTCAGAAGGAATTACCTTACCCGTGGGCATGGCAAGCCTCAATGACAGCTGGGGTGTAATTGGTTTTATTGGTAAAAAATTAGAATTTATCAAAACACTCATTGAGAATAATTACATACACTATGGAATGCCCCCTTGTAGATTACTGCATGATCACTGCAAATGATAGTGACGGTCAGTGATTATAAATTTACAGCTATAAATTATAATACTATAAATGGTTGCTAAGACAATTGTGAAGACAGAAAAGGCTGATTAAAAGGGTGTGTGTGTATATATATATATATCATATATATATGATATATGTGTATATATATATATATATACACACACACCCATGTATGTGTACAAGTATATATACACCCACACACACATGAAGCATGCACACACACACACACACACAAACACACATACACACATGCTCAGAATGATTACTTCTTGGTTAAAAGCACACAAACATGCCTACAACCAAAATACTAAAAAGAAATACATCAAAACATTAACAATGGCAATTTGGGGTACAGAGACCCCAAATTGGGGTAGACTGTAGAACACTGATTCTTTATCTTTTTAAAATTCATCTTAAAACATCAGATTTTCAAGTTTATTCTACTTTTATATTTTTATAATTCTAACCACTTAGTAAAAATAAAATGTAAAAGATCACTGGGAAACAAATTTCCATCCAAAACTATACAAAAAGAGAGTACAGCTATATTGTGACATTATTTTCAAGATAGCATATTTCTACTTAACAGAAAAAAAAAAAAAACACTTGAGAATATTTTAGTGCAATGAGAACCTTTTGTTTCTTTTCAAAGCCTTACTCTGGAAGAGGTATTACAGTGGGCCCAGTCTTTTGAAGCATTGATGGCTACAAAATGTGAGTACCATGTGCATGTCATTTGTTAATAACTAGTCACTTTTATGCTTGGAGGAAAGGAGGCACTTGATGATGTACACGTGCTGCTCTTCTCACACCCTTCTAAATGGCAACTGCCAGTTAAAACAAGAAACCTGAAAATAGTTTGTCGTGTCAACCACTATTATTTTCTTTGGTGTTAATTAAAGCAAGATTAGTCACTGTGAATGTTCATTCTTCACGAGTATATGTGTAAAATCTCATGGAAATATGCTTAAATAGTAACACATACTGAAATATATTGCCTTACAGCAGTTTCCTAAAGTTATAATAAAAAAAAAACCTGACAATTTGCTGTTCTCAGTGTCCTGAGAAGTAGAATAAATTTGAGTTTTGATGTTCTAAAACTCCTCAAAGTTTGCTTCTAACTTTATCAGTGTCTGACTGAAATGGGACTTTATATAGGCCCATATTTCATTATATGTGTCAGCATTCAGATCGTATAAATGGAAATAAATCCATATTTAGTTACATGTGTCAGCATTCAGACGGCATAAATGGAAATAAGTCCATATTTAGTTATATGTGTCAGCATTCAGGTCATATAAATGGAAATAAGTCTATATTTAGTTACATGTGTCAGCATTCAGATGGCATAAATGGAGGATGACAGCAGTGGATGTCAGGAAGATAAAGTCAGAGGCTCAACACAGGAAACTGAAGGGACAGTCAACCGTTTGGTTGGGAAGTTGGGAGGCTGTAGGGAATGGTAAGGGGCTTCTTAGAGGGTGCAGTGGTATAGAATCCACCTGCCAATGCAGGAGATGTGGGTTTGATCCCTGGGTCGGGAAGGTCCCCTGGAGAAGGAAATGGCAACCCACTCCAGTAATCTTCCCTGGAAAATTCCACAGACAGGGGAGACTGGTGGGCTACAGCCCATGGGGTTGCAGAGTCAGACACAACTGAGTGACTGATCACATACACACACACACACAGAAGAAATGATAAACACAGAAGACAGGTACAAAGAACAACTAGGGGAAACTCAAGAAAATTCCTTTGTTTGCTGAATGTGGCAGTTTTTTCAAAATGCCATTTGCTCCCCTCAAATGTCTGCCAATGATTTATATCTCTTTTACCTGAGAGTCCCTTCGCCTCTCTGTGACTGGTGAATCTGTTCACACCTATTGACCGTGGAAGTGGAGTTGGCTGTGCTTCCAATTTGGGCTTCCCACGTGGTGCACGTGGTGAAGAATCCACCTGCCGCCAATGCAGGAGACACAAGAGACCCGGGTTCAATCCCTGAGTCGGGACGGTCCCTTGGAGTAGGAAATGCAAATCCACTCCAGTATTCTTGCCAGGGAAATCCCACGGACAGAGGAGCCTGGCGCGCTGCAGTTATTCTGGGCAGGGTACTTCCGGCCCCAGGGGCCCGCCATGCTCCTCTGACTGCAGGGCCCCACCCGGCCCGGAGACGGCTGTTGCTGCCCAGCCCCGCCTCCTGGCCCCTCAGCCAGCGGCCCGGGCTCTCGCACCACGGCCCCGCAGGGCTGGGACCCACCGCCCCGGGCTCCGTCACCCCCTGAGCCCGCCTGATGCAGCAGCAGCCCTGCCTGGTGAGCAGGGAGGCCTGCACCTCCTTTGTCTGATGCCCTCGCCCCCGCCTCTCACTTTTCAGGGGGACCTCATAGTCTGTGATCCAGTTTGCCAGCATGATTGCCGATTTTAAGATAATCTTTCTGGTCAATTTTAGGACACTGGTATAGGAGGAAGAGACAAAGGTGTAAGTTCAGTTGACTACACTGATTAATCCTCTGTTAATAATTTGGAGTTCATTCCCAACCACCAGCAATCCACATGGTGCAACATTACCAGATTAATTTCCCTCCTAGAGTTTATTATTCTTCATCTGTAGAATGGTCTGAGGTCATCTCTCCCTTCAGCATTGCTGCACAGGTTAGATATACACCCCCCTGCTCAGTGCCTGATACAGATGAGGCACACAGTGATTGAGAGTTCCCTGGTGGTTCAGACGGTAAGGCGTCTGCCTACAATGTGGGAGACCAGGGTTCGATCCATGGGTCGGGAAGATCCTCTGCAGGAGGCAATGGCAACCCACTCCACTACTCTTGCCTGTAAAATCCCATGGACGGGGGAGCGTGGATCGCAAAGAGTCGGACATGACTGAGTGACTTCTCTTTCTTTCTCTTAGTAATAAAGTGCTTGTTTTGAATATCATTCCTTTTTCTCTGCCACCTACTCAGAAGTCCAAAATCTCCAACTTAGTTTTCAGCTCCGTACCTTACTCCAGTGCCCTTGCTAACAGGTACATCCAGCTCTGTCCGTTCACATACACGCTCTTCTGCCCGTGTGATGACTACTCCACCCTCCACATCCAGGACTCCTGGTCCAGCTCTGCACTAAGCCTTCTCTGGCTCCTTTATCTACTCTGCCCATCCTTAGAGGTAACGTTCAACTGCCACTTTCTCCTCTTGGAAAACTCCTGAAAGTATTTTTTCTCTCTCTTCTATTAGTTAATATCATTATTTACTTTGCTTCTAATTATAGCTATTTTGTGTACTGGGTTTTTTTCTCATATCCCCTTTCTCACTAGATTATAAATTCCTAAGAGCACAGATCACTTCTCATTCACCTTTCATCTTTCCTCCCAGAGGCTGAAAGCATGCTTTGTACCTAATGGGCATGCAATAAATGTTTAATGAATAAATATGAGGCAAATGCTACTAAGAAAAGATCAAAACACCAAACCATATTATGTAAGAGTTTCTGTGCCAGTCTTTTCAGCCTTATAAACAAAGTAAATGAAGTTAATTACTTGGAAAAAAAAATTTCAAGTGGGATCTTGGCTAGACTTAGCAATTTCGAGATCTAGCATCATGAGGCTAAGTCTAAAGAAAAGCCAAGCACAGGGAGACAGCATACTGCCCTTTATAGAAATCACCAAAACGGGGTAGGAATCTTACCAGAAATTGAATTCTTGTGAAATTCACGTACAAACTCAAAAATCACACAATTAGAAGTTGATAAATCATTTTCTAAGACATGCAGTCACAAAGATAAAACTAAGAATATAAACATTAAATGTGCCAGAGAATAGAGTGTGTTTACATTAACCAAGGGCAGGAATATAATGCTTCCTCTAGCTAAGACATGCAGATGCCTCCATACAGATTAAAAGACAGTCTCTAACAACACGTAGTTCAGAAATCCACAGGGCAAAGTTTCTCGCAAGGGGCAAATTTTGAGCTGAGATGTAAATGACTCAAATTTTTGTAATTTGATGAAGTTCTGACTCTAAGTGTGTTAAAGATAGGGAACAGTTTTAGAAGTAAAGACTAATACTTTGGCCACCTGATGTGAAGAGCTGACTCATTTGAAAAGACCCTGATGCTGGGAAAGATTGAGAGCAGGAGGAGAAGGGGACCACAGAGGATGAGATGGTTGGATGGCATCACTGACTCAATGGACATGACTTTGGGTGGACTCTGGGAGTTCGTGATGGACAGGGAGGCCTGGCGTGCTCATGGGGTCTCAAAGAGTCAGACACGACTGAGTGACTGAACTGAACTGAAAGACTAATGAGTGCTTCTTTCAATGAAGGTGTAGGATTCCTCAGGATTTGCTGTGAAAACTGGTCTCATTAAAAAAATCTCCATAATGAATTAAATAGAAAGTACCCTTCAAAAGATGATAGAAAGTCCTTCAAGTTTCCAAACATCAACAATTTTATGAAAAAAAAAAATTATTTTCAAATGGGCATAAAAGTAGTAATAACTTTTTGAATGGGTCAGGAAAAAAATTGTCTGAGCTATTGCTCATTGCCCCATAAAAATACCTGAGTATTATTAAAGATTTTTCCTTGAGTGAGGCTGACCTAAAATATGTCATTGCACCCCAAACTATTATCAGAGTGAGAGGCATCAGTAAGATGTAAAGTAGAAAGAAAACCCTGTGGGTATTTCTGAAGGCTAAATCGAGTAGAACTAGAAAAGACACAGAAATGTACATTTGAAAAGACCACTTTGCTTAATCAAAGTTTTTATTATTATTTTGATTAAAATGTTAGAAAAGAGTGCAGAAGGCTCATACATATATTTACTGACCAAATCTCAAAAGATGAGGATAGAGGTTTATTTATGTTTCTTTATGTTTGAGTAAACATAAATAAAAATAAGTTTAAAACTGTGACTAATGCCCTTGGATGAGGCATTCAATCCAGGCACCAGTGAGAGGCCCAGAGGGTCACTGTGCTCAACTCATGTGCACCCTCTAGAGGGAGGAGAGAGACCAACAGGCAAGCCAATTAATAGATAAATTAATTCCAGAAAGCAGTTAAGTGCTTTGAAGAAAATAAGCCAGGCTGTATGACAAAGAAAGGCAGGAGTAAGAAGGAAATTCAATGACATGATTAGAGACAAAGTGTAGGATGGTGTAAAGCTTTGAGCTAACAATTGAATGACAAGGAGTGGCCAGTAGCACTGGGGTCAGAGAAACTCAAGCAGAAGACAGGCCCTGAGGTGTGAGTGAGGTTAGCACCTTAAATCAACCAAAAGAAATTTAGTAGCATAGGAGACCAAGGCCTTACAGGCCACATGAACAACTTTAAACAGCAGAGTAATGAGCATTAATGTACTTTAACAAATACCCTTTCGGGGGGGGGGGGGTGCGGGTAGGTAAGGGAGGAAAGAGTACTAAGAAGTACAAACTTCTAGGTATAAAATATGTAAGATACAAGGATACAATGTACAACACAGGGAATATTACCAATATTTTATGATAACTTTATACAGAGTACAATCTATAAAAATATCAAATCTTTATGTTTTATCCCTGACAGTAATAAAACAAGTCAATTAAAAAGTTAATAAAAGTACCCACTGGTTCTCTTCTGAAGAAAAGAAGCTGAGAGACTAGTTAGAAGGCTATTTCAATAAACCAGCTAGGACTGGAATTCAGTGGGGAAGACAAAAGGAGGAGTAATTAGCATATAGATGTTAATC